AGACAACTATGACAACGACGGCACCGAAGCACCACCCCACACCCACAGAGGGAGGGGGGGGCACTGGCACCCCCCACCCCCCACCACCCCACGCCCGCAGACCGCAGGCAGCGGGAGCGGGGGGGGCTACCGCGCCAGGGCCGCAGGGCGGGACCCGTCGCGGGGGGGGGCCCAAGGCATCAGCACGAGAGGGGGACCCAGAGTCCTGGATCATACTACCCGTACGACCACCCTTAGGTCGGGCATGTCCCCCTGCAGGAGGATTTTCGACGACAAATCAACAAGATTCCAAACATATATGCCAAAATGGCCAACAAGTGCCAACATGGCCAACAAGTGTTTGTCTACTTTTGAATATTCCTCCTGTAGAGTGACAGGCTCGACTTCAGAACACCCTTCGGGTGATAAATAAGTGGAATTCCGCGGCGCGTATTCTGATTATTGTCTGTTGTCATCATTGCTCCAACAGCGACCCACACCGCGACCTGCCCGCACCCCGCGACCCATTCTCGACCCGACCGCATTAAAAACGTCGCCTGCGTCGGGTCTCTTCGGAGCCTCCCAGACTGCCGACGACCCCGCCGCCCCCTGACTCTTCTCCGCAATTGCAGGGGGCTCTGGTATTTCTCAATGCCCCGTCCCTCCTTGTCTCCTACTCCCTCCCCCCTCATCCTCAATCCTCCACCCCTCCCCGCCTCCTCCAGCCCTCACCCCTCCCTCCTCCTCCTCCTCCTCCTCCTCCTCCTCCTCCTCCTCCTCCTCCTCCTCCTCCTCCTCCTCCTCCTCCTCCCCCTCCTCCCCTATGCCCAATCCCTCGCCCTCCCCCTTTGCCGGCCCCTCCTCGGATACGCAGGCAACAGCCGATCATCGTGTCGATGTCGATGTCGGCCCCGGCTCCTTGCAAAACGGAGGTGGCCCACGGCCCTGGCCTCCGCCCCGACGGCCGCGGCAACGGGAGCCTGCGGCAGCCCTCGGCGGCCCTCGGCTTGAGTCGGGCCTGTCCCTCCACAGGGGGAAAATCCAAGAATAACCAACACACAGTACGGGAGCTATTTTTTCTGCATACTGTTTGACCTGTTCGGAGCATTTGACAAAGATGGTTTTCATGTTTCATCGAAAATGCTCCTGTTGGGGGGCTGTAGGACAGCAACGGAGCTCGTGCGCACAGAAAATGATCCAGAAGCATGAGGGGCGTTTGACTGTTGCATCGAGAGGTCTCAAATCTCTCAGGCTGAAAAACTATCCGTCTCTGCAATTTTTCTCGACATTATATATGGTCAGAAAGCTCTACGAGTTTTTCGGCGGTAACAAAGGTTGACGGTTTGACAGGCCCGACCGAGCCCTCGGCGGCTGCGGGCGGCCCTCGGCGGATGCGGCCGCCGGCGGCCCCGGGCGGCCCTCGGGGGCCCTCGGGGGCCTCGGAGGCCCTCGGCCGCTCCCGCGGGGCGGGGCGGGGGCGAGGGCCGACGGGCGAGGCGTCCGCGAGGGCTTTGACCACGATTAAGGCGGGCCTGTCCCCCTGCAGGGGGAATTTGGAAGATTTGTTCTTTCAATGTATATAACACACAAAATCACCCCAAAAGTTCTCCCAAATGGTCCCCCAAAAGCTAACCAAATAGTCCCCGGACTATTTTTGGAGCTGCTTTTGAACATGCCCCCCGCAGAGGGGCGGGCCCGACCTCAGGCCACGCTCGCAAAGGCGCCGGCTGCACGCCTGCCACGATCGGTGCGCACGCCGCCCTGGCCTGGCCAGGAGGGCGCGCGCGCGCCGACCCCTCCTCCTCCTCCTCCTCCTCCTCCTCCTCCTCCTCCTCCTCCTCCTCCTCCTCCTCTCCCCAGCCAGGAGGGCACCGCGGGGGCCGGCCCGGCCAGGGACCGGCGCAGAGGCGCAGAGCACGGGCACGAGAAGGAACGGAAGGGGCCCCAGGACACACCAACAAGTACACACAAGCAAACAGATGCCCGTCTTTTTTGCCATATCTTTGAGGTTTTTGTGTGTCTCCCCCCCCCCCCCTTTCCCATCTTTTCCCATGTGTTCTGTGGGGGATCAACGATTAATTGTGGCTGTTTTTTTGTCCCCTCCTGATGAAACGCACGAGCAAACAGGCCGCGCGAAAGACCGGCTCGTGCTGGAGCGTCTCGCGCCCACACGAAAGCCAAGCAGCCCTACACACAGTGCAGCTGTCCCTCACGCCTCACGGTCGCGCCTCACAGAGCGCGCTGCACGACAAGAACTCCTGCTGCCAGAGATCTGGAGGCAAAGCCGTCGAGCTTGAGCACCGCAGTGTGCCCCAGGAGTCTCTGGCCCACTGTGCAGACGGCGCCCTCCGACGCGGCGGCGGCGGCGGCGCTGGGGCACCCTCGGGGCCCTCGCCTGGCGCACGCGGGCCCCCGCGGGAGCGGGCGGGGGGGGGGGGCACCGTGGCCCCATGCATCCTCTCGCTTCGCGACTCCGCCCGCCCACTGCCCCTGGATGGGGCGACGGCATCTATACACACACGCCGCCCCGGCGAGGCCCATCCTCGGTCCAGGGCGAGTGACCAAAAAAGGGCCCCTAACCCTTTGGGAGGCGACCAAAAGTCAGGAGGGCCAAAAACGACGGGGGTAGGGGCCCTTCGCTGCAGATGTGTCAGACCAAGCCGCCCAGCACCATCGTCCCTGATGCAGGGACGGGGCCCCCAGTGAAGCCACGTCCTCATCGTGCCATTCGGATTCGTGACTCTTGTGCTCCCCACGGCGGGATGGGCCCTTCCAGGGGCGGCCGGCCAGGACCCCCGCAACCTGCCCCGCAGCGCAGCCGCTGGCGCAGGTCTGGCGCACGGTCCCGCGAGGGGCTCTGGCTCGCGCGGCGTCCGCGCCGGGCCGCCGCCAATGGCCGCGCCCCCGCGGCCCCGCCGGCGGCTCGGCCACCTGGGGCGCCAGCCACGGGCCAACGCCATGCTCGCCGAAGTCGCTGCGGGCCGCCCAGGGTGGCCACACGCCCTCGCGCAGCGGCCTGGGCAGGGCTGCTGCCTGCGCTGCGGCGGCAGCGAGCGGGCCTCCCCGGCGATGCTGTCCAGTGTCTGTCCGGGATGGCGCCTGCCGCCCGGTTTTTTTGCCACTGCAGGAAAAAAACCATCGCCCATGCACTTGTGGAAAAAAACGAGTGGGCGGGCGGGGGGTCAGTCGCCGGTAGTCCGCGAGGGTGATCAAAAAGAACGCATGGAGAAGCCCGCCGCAGGCCTCGATTTTTTCTTGTGGAAGCAACGTCGGTGGGTCGCGGGTGAGTGGCGGGCGGATCGCGGGTGTGTCGCAGGTGGGTCGTGGCTGGGCCGCGGGTGGGACGCGGGTGGATCGCGCGCGGGCCGCGGGCAAAAAAGACGAGGGCGCAACGACAAGAATCCGCTCTGCAGAAGCCCACTTCAGCCACTCCCAACCCTGACGCGCGGAGCGCGTCAGGGTTGGGAGTCGGAGGAGCCACCAGGAGCTCAAGTTTCTTGCAACCGCATAACGCGCGCTGTGCGGTTGGAGGGGTGGGTGGGCCCGCTGGCACATTACATAATACAGTCGTGCCCTGCCGCTCGAATGATTTTTGCCTGAGGGCACTGCCCGTGTTGCTACGGTTGGTGCGGATGTAAAGAAACAGGCCTAACAGCTGCGATCGCCACAAGGCGCGTTGACACCGAAATGCCTGCTCTCACCACACATGCTGATGCAGCAACCTACGCATGCACCAAATTCGCCTGTGTACATCACAACGCATGGGTGCATGACAGTGCTCCTGTGCACAACAGCGCCTGACACCACAACGTTTCTGCACTGCTGCACAACACAACTGCGGCCATACAAGCACGTTCCGCGTGCGCCACAGCGCCGTGTACAACACGACCCGCGCGCACAGGAAAGCAGCCACGCACAGCGCGGCAACTAGCGCTTGCGCGCACCGCCCGCACACATTTCGACGATCCCGACGAAGCACATAAACCGAAATCCGTGCTCGTGGGGGGGGGGGGCGCGAACGTATCACAATGAATACGCAGGTCTTTTGTGATTCTTGCTGTTTGCCGCCTGGAGGCACCTGCGGCAAGTTGTTCGAGCTGCGTGCGGCCGCGACGGCGAAGATTCCTCCAGAGGGGGGGGGGACCCTGGCGCCTCGAGTTCACTTGTGCCGCGCTTTCGTCCGAGAGGGCCCTGGCCCAGGAGACACCCGAAAAGGGCTCCGACGCGGCTCAGAGAGGCCCCAAGACGGCCGAGGAAACGCCCGAGCCTGCCCAAGGAAGGGGCCCCCAAGAGGAGGAGCACCAGTCGACAGCTCGAGCCTTCTTCCGCCCCAAGACGCCCCCAGGAGATGTCTTGTTTGAGTTCCACGCTCTGTCCGCCCCGTTTAGCAAGGCACCCTACGGCGGGGGGGCGGCGCCAGCAACGCCCCCAAGAGACCCCGAGAGGCGCCCCGAGGAAGCCCCGTCGTCAGAGGCCGCAGATCAAGAGCGCGCCCAAGAGGGCCCCAAGAGGCTGCCCGTCGTCCTCCTCGTCCTCGTCCTTGTTTTTAAGTCGGGCGCGTCCCCCTACAGGGGGGATTTTCGACAAAATAAACATACTCAAAACATACTCCAAGATGGCCAAATAATACTCCAAACATATGTTGAAGATTCCCCCTGTAGAGGGACAGGCCCGACTTAATCCTCGTTCTCGTCCTCGACCTCGTCCTGCTCCCAAATTCCCTTCCTCCTCGCGCCCTGGATCGGCGGCGGCGGCCGCACATCCTGCCCAACAGACTGCCCACTGCGGGGCCATGGGGTGGGCCCCGCGCCGTGGTCGGCGCGAAGGTAGTACTTGAGCAGGGACCGACCGTCCCGGCAGTGCTAGAGTCCTACCACGAGATGTTCGTAGAACCCAAAAATGTTCGAAACATATAAACAATGTTCTTAGAGCATAAACCCGATGTGAGAAAACAAGACAGACTCCGACAAACATGTTCTAAGAACATTTCGTGGAAACCACAAAAGGTTCTTAGAACATTGTTTGGTAAGGTTACAGGCGTGCCAAGACGCTTCGCCACTGCTTGTTAGTACATGAGTTGCTCCGGGAAGGTCCGGAGCACCAGTCACCAGAGTCATCGAAGACTTGAGCAATGAAACCTGCTTGAGACAAAAAACGCCACACACGCGCACTGTTCCGGGGACCTGGCACCGATCCAAGATGACTGAACCTCCGCAAGTGTATGTCCATGCACATGGTCGGGTATACCGCAGCGGCTGCAGCAGCACTTCGCCCACGGATCCCACCGCCCCACAAATCACCGAGTCCCTCGTAGGCAGCCCCGCCTTCCCCCTGCCCTCTCATCGGCCCGCGGCTCCGACGGACTGGGCCACCATGGCGAAGAAGGTGCCCGCCTGACCGAGCGCGTGGGGAGAGGAACGAAGAGGATGACGTCGAGGAAGAGACAAGCGAGCAATTGTCCGCCAGTTCGCCCAGCGGCCGCAAGGCTGGAGACCATGCAGGTTGTTATCGTCATCGGCGATGTCGTTGCACCGCGATCGTCGCTCTCAGCGTCGTCAGCATCATCATGTCAGTCATAGTCGTCATCATCGTCGTCCTCGTCATTATCGTCGTAGTCGCAATCCCCCCGTTCAATACCCCCGACACCAATTATCCGTCTCCTTTCGACCTCATCGTCACCTTCGTCATCAATGTACGCCCAAACTTACGCCTTTAGGTGCAACATTCCAAGCATTGCCGACACGCCTGCAAGATAATCACGGACAGGCGGCGACTCCCCAACGAACCCATGCGCAGCAGAAGCATAGACACAAGCACGCATCACATCGGATTCAAATCCGCCGACTCTGTCGGCGTGTGCGAGGGGCTTGGCTGTTCGAGTCGTCGTCTCCGTCGGTCATCGCCTCCGTCGTCCCCTTTCCCTGCAGCTTCCTTCTCAAGCTCGTAGCGACAGAAAAATCGAGCAGTGTCGTAATCGAGTCGAAGGGAAGCCCCTTCCCTTTGATCCCTTCCCCAGGGGGGGGGGGGTCCCGGGGGGGGTCCCGGGGGGGGGTCCCAGGGGTGGTCCCGGGGGGGTCCCGGGGGGGGTGGGGGGGCAGATTCGTTTTTCCTCGGGCGGCCTAGAAACCTCGAAAACACTCCAAATGAGGTCCGAATGCCCAAGATGGCCCCCGAGACGGCCCAAGAGGGCCCCGAGTCGCCCAAAGATCGGCCGAAAACGCCCAAGATAGCCCCAAGACCGTCCAAGAAGCCTCCAAGACGTCCCAGGCCCCCTCCAAGAGACCCCCAGGAAGCCCCAAGAGGCCCCCACGAGGCTTCCAAGCGGCCCCTAAGAGCTTCCCAAGAGGCCCACAAACTACCCCCAAGAGGCCCCCAAGAGCGCTCGTCGTCGTCGTCGTCGTCGTCGTCGTCGTCGTCGTCGTCGTCGTCGCCATTCAGGGTCGGCGGCACCGGCCGTAAGGCCTTCGCAATAAGTACGTTCGGAACACCCGATGGGACAGGTCTGGGACCACTGCGCTTTTTGGGGTGACCCCTTCCTTCTGACAGCAATTCAACCTTCTGCTGATTGAAAAAATCTGGACTGCCAGACAAACAGAAGACATGGTGCACGCACTTCACGGTGCCCAGACGGGCAGCGAAAGCAAAGCAGACCAACGGATTGCGACTTTCACTCCAGCACTGCGAGTGAATCCGCCGACCCTGTCGGCCTGTGACAGGGGCTGCTCCGTCGCTGCGACCGTCGCGTCGCCGCCGCCATCACGCCTCCTCCTTCCCCTGAATCAGTCGCCGCTCCCCACCTTTCCTTAGGCCCCCGTCCTCAAACACGCCAGCCAACGCGAAATACACCAGCCCATCCACAGCGAAATTGAGTAACGTTGTCACTGAGTCGAAGGAAGGGGGGGGGGCCCCAGGGGGTGTCCCGGGGGGTGGTCCCGGGTCAGAATACCACCCTCACGGGGCCCATGGACCGCCCTCTCCCTCCCATTTCCGTCGAAGTCCGAGGCCTCCAGGTTCGGCGGCACCGGCCGTAAGGCCTTAGCGATACACGTCGTTCATTTCTACTCGTGCTCATTTCTGATTGTGCTCGTTCCTAATTGTTCCTGGCCCGCCAGTGGCCAGGAAGAGTCCCAGAATAGAACAATTAGAAATGAAAGGATCTTGGCCCGCCCAAAAAATCACAGAACTTTCGAAGACTTAGAACAGAACCATGTGTACATGTGAGGCGCGGATCTTTCAATGACTGCGTGCGTCGGAGGAAGGGGCCCGGTCCCCAGGCCCGGGAAATGCCGAAATTCCGGGGCGCAGCTGGACGCTCCTGGGCCCAATAGTTCTCTTCGGTGATGGCTTTCCCGATGCCTCTGAAGCGCGGTTTGAAATTGTAATGTAAACGTGCCCTGATGTCTTCGCAACGTTCTGCCCCAATGCCAACTGGACTCGTTGTAGGGTTCGCAACTGGTCGCAGGCACGTGCAACCTGGGCCACCTGGTCAAATATGCAAACTGGACTGCCGCGAAGGCCACA